CTGTGGAACGAAGGGATCTTGACGTGCTTGTTCATTGATGTCAGAAGGCAGATGGGCATGTTACTAGGGTGGTAAAAAGGCCTTTATCAATCGAGGCATAGATTATAAAAACATGGAAGTCATGTTGGCATTATATAGAACATTAGTGAGACCATGGCTAAAGTACTGTGCATTTCTGGTTGCCACATTATAGGAGTAATGTGATTGCACCAAAATGGTTGCAGAGATTCACCAGGATGCATGAGTCACAGTGTGTTCACCTGCCAAACAGCTAAGCTCTGGAATTTCATCTCCCTCCCTCCCTCGTTCTGTTCTTTGAATATGGACCCTTAAACCTACTTTTTATCTAAGTCTTTGGTCATCTGCCCCCTCTATTTTGTCTCCTCATGTAACTCAACTACTTTTGCTTCCTAAAATTTCTGTAAAGGGATTCCAGTTTTTTTTTTGTTTAGTCATTTATTAGGATTGAACTTGAATATTGCTGAATAAAGAGCCATTTTGTTGAAACTGTTATTCTTGAAGGTGTTTGCAAGATTATTAATATACAGAGAATGACATTTTATACTGTATAAGGAGAAAGTGCTGATTGATTGACAAATATGCATGCCAGTTAACTTTGTTCATGACATTGCCCTAATTATTGAATCAGAGAATGGTTGTCTCCTATTTTAAGATGATGCTAAAGTACAGCACATAGAGTCATTGAGTTCAAAGCCGTCTTGTGAAGTAATGGCCACCTTGATCTGACCCATTTCTTGCTTCAGTTCGCATAAACTCATGAACAGGCCTAAGGCAAGTAAAATATCCAGTGTACCTCATTACCTTGAAAAGATGAGGTATCTCAAAAAATTGAGAAATAGATGAAGGTAACTGTTCCATGCTCCTATTTTGCAGTAGTGATATGATTGGATGTTGCCGTCAAGACAAAGCAATGTTCTGTTTATCACACAATAAGTAATGTAGTATATAAATTTCAGTGCAGGCCTGATGCTAGATATGTTGGCCCTACATGTCAAAGCATTTTACTTGGGCTGTTTGCAGGAAGGTACAATACTTGCTGTACCCAACTAGCCTGTGCCTCTAAAACTCGGAACATGTTTTCCCACACTAAATGTGATTCTGTGATTGGGTAGCATTTGCCAATTATTTCCAAATGTGCTAAAAATGATGCTGGCAACTAATTTAGGATTGCCAGTCAAGCTTGCAATATAGTATCCAGTTCTGAGGAAGGGTCACCGGACCCAAAATGTTAACTCTGTTTTTACCCTTCACAGATGCTGCCAGACCTGCTGACCTTTTCCAGCAACTTTGTTTTTGTTCATGATATCCTTGCACATTGTCGAAGCTGCATATAATAATACACACAGCCTTGTTTTGCAGGCAGAAAGAACATATATACATTTTGTACCTGTTTCAACTTAAAATGGCCATTCTCCGTTCATTCCTCAGAGCAATGCCTTAACAAAACAATCAATCTGCCTGGTTTAAATTTAAGCAAAGGTTGGCAATTAGCTGTCAGTCATCGAAGTATCCATGATAATGCCTCTACTAATCAAAGCTCCATTGCTAAGCAATCAGTGCACTTTTCAAACTGTATAAAATGCAATTCTCCTTTAAATTTGTATTCTTGCCGAATGTCCTGGTGAGTCCAAGATGAAAAGCTTGACAAGATGTACCTTTTTAATGTTAAAATCTCTGTTAAGGTGTTGTTCAGAAAATATTCTGATGTCTTTGTTGCAGCTGAAGTGGATCACCTCATACTTGCAGTGACCATTATCTGTCAGTTTTACATCCCCACACACAATCTGTCCATAATAAAAGAAAATGCTGGAGAAACTGAGGAGGCCTATAGTATCTGTGGAGAGAAAAACAGGGTTAAGAGTCATATCAGACTTTGTTAGTTCTGTTTCTCTCTACAAATGCTGCCAGACCTACTGATATTCTCCAGCATTTTCTGTTTTTGCAGATTTCCAGCATCTGCACTAGTTTGTTTTTATGACTTTATAACTTCCATCTACAGAACTTATTGTTGCTCCTATCTTAGTGTCATGTGCACACTTTGATGTGTGATGTGATTGGGTCCTATTAGCTGTGTTCAAGGGAGAGATAGTGGTGTAGTGTTATTGTTACTGTTCTATTTATCGACATATTTGAGTCTAATGGTCAGGTGACATGAGTTTGAATCTCAGCAAGTAGATGGTGAAATTTAAACTCAATTAATGAAAAACCTAGAATTGAAATCTAGCCTAATGGTGACCATGAAATCATTGACTATTGTCACTAAAACCTATGAAGTTCATCAGTGTTGTTTAGAGAAGGAAACTCTGCTATCCTCGCCTGGTCTGATCTACATGTGACTCCAGAGCCATAGCTATATGTTTGGCACTTAAATGCTCATTGAAATGATGTAGCAAGCCACTCATTTATATCTAACCTTTACAAAAGTCTGCTGCATTGATCAAGGCACTGAAAACGATCATGGCACATGCAGCCCTATTGACCGTGCAAACTGTTCCTGTGGACCTGTACCAAAATTGGAAGAGCTATCCCTCACACTAGTTGAGCAACAGTCCAACCTTGTAAGATATGATTGAGTGAATAAACGTGTCCGACTCACCACAATTAGTGTTCCCTCAGTTTGTCCTGTCCCACAGACAGGTCAGAACTACCAAAAGGCTGTGGCATAATAGCAACAGTCAGGGAGCTGTTGTCCTGGAAGTCCTTGACATTAACTCCAGACCTCATGACCCCTCATAGTGTCAAGTAAAAGGTGGGCAAGGTAACCGTCTCCTGAATAATATCTACCCCCACCCCACCCCCACTCCCCAGCAGATGAATCAGTTCTCTCACCTGTTGATCATCTTGGAGGATACATTGAGGGTGATGAGAGCACATAATACACTTTTGATAGTAGACTTCATTGTCCATCATCAAGAGTGGCATAGTGACACCATTGTTGATCTTGTTGGCAGAGTTCTAAAGGACACAACTTCTAGACTGGGCTTGTGACAGATGATGAGGGAGCGAACAAGAGGAAGAAATGTGCGTGACTTTGTCCACACCAATCTACCTGTTTCAGATATTTGTGACAGTACTAGTAGGAATGGCTATAATGCAAACCTTAGGCTGAAGCCCTGCCTTCACATTTGAGGATGCCCTCCATTGTGTCTTGTAGCATTAACGCAATGCTGAGTGGGATAGGTTTCAAATAAATCGGGCAACTGGGCATCCATGAGATGCTGTGGGGCATCAGCAATGGCAGAAGTGTATTCAAACACAATCTGTAATCTCAAGGCTCACTGTAATTTCCACCCTGCCATTCCTATCAAGCCAGGAGATCAACCATGGTGCAGAAGATTTAGCCAGGAGTAAGTATCAGCCATATCTAAAAATGAAGCTGAAACACAGCACTACTTGCATACCAAGCAGTATGCTAAGGTTTTGGAGTAGATCTGTAGCTCGGGTTGTGGGTGTTGAGGTTGGTTGGCTCGCCAAGCTGGTTTGTTGTTCCGCAGACGTTTCGTTACCGTGCTTGGTAACATCCTCAGTGCCGCCTCTGATGAAGCGTCGGTGTGTTTTCCCGCCTGGTTTTTAAACTCTGGGGTCCGTTGCGATGGATTGCCTCACTTCCGGGTTTCCTCCGTAGTGGAATGCA